AGAAAGTCTAACTGCCTAAATTTATATATTAGTATTTATAGAACCAATAAACATTACATCTTTATACTTATTTTAATTCTTGATTAATATTCAAATCTTTCAAGTCAATCTTTTCAAGCTCTCTAACTTCATTGTTCTCTTCTTTATTATCAGATTCCTTTTCTTTCTTTTCCTCTTCTCGTCAATATCGATTTTCCAACCCTCAAAATCTGTTTCGGAATCATCTGATTCAGATTCTGATACAGGGTTATCGTTGTTTTGAACAAGGTTTTTTGCCTTCAATGCTTTTCTAAATAAAGTTAATTAAAATCAGATTTTCATTTGGATCCACGTACTGGGATTGTCGCATTTCGATATTCAATCGAGTTTGTGCAATCATTTCATCTTATCTATTCTTTGATACCTTTAAAAAATCAGAAGTTTTGTAAAACACTTTCAAAGTATAAAAAATCTGATGCTTTTCCTATCTTTCTCTTTTTCGACTTCTAGCTCTTTAGATATCATTCTTGTCTTTCGATTGTATGCATTTCTAGCTTTTTGCTTTTGCAAATATTCTTTTTACTTTCCCTGTAGCTTTTTCTTATTAGATTTAATTACTACTAGTATCTTTTTGATTCTTTAAAGCTTAGAAGAGATTCAATATTATAAATATAACGCTTATTATTGTTGTTGTTATTGTTATTCCTAAAAGCGTGTTGTTTGTGCTGTTTGTAATATTTTCGTATTCGGAATAATTATATTCCATGAGAATAAGTAGTATGATTAGTTGAATTATGTGATATGTGATATATTAATTTACAAATATACATTTCTAAATATTTAATTTTTCAACACTTATTCTTTTCGCCCCTATTCTTGAAGCTTTTTAGGTATACACCCCTTGAATATTTGAAACCTTTTTACAATAAACTGAAATGATTTCAAATCTAGACCTTGAAAGCGCTATATTCCAGGAAATCCTGTAGCTGTAATATAAACTACAAACACACTACATAGGAAGCTATATCACATACTAATATTGGAAAGAGATCAACAAATAACAAAAACTAGGTGTAGGTAGAAGGTTATCTTTTTTTAAAAATAAGAATATAAAGAAAGCTTCGAAAGCAAAGGTTCAAAGTGTAAGAAAGCAGTTTAAAAAAGGAAAAACAAAGTTGCTAAAAGAGCTTATTAATGAAAAGCGGGAAGTAAATAAATCTTTTTTTGATTTATAGCTTCTTTCTTATTAATTGAATATAGTGATTGTATTATAAGAAATTAAAAAGTATCAAAAATCAACCGAATTGCTCTTGAAAAAGCCCCTTTTCAATATTTAGTTAAAGAGATTTCGGATCAATTTGTACTTGTGGAGAGTGTTAGAGATGGAATGCTATTATTCTTATAATAATTCAAAAGGCAACTGAATCCTTTATGGTTATTTATTTTGAAAATGTATTTTTTATCCTTTCTATTTATCAATTAAATAGATTATTGATTTAATTTATAATATTACAATATTGTATATTTTATACAAAAGACAAACTATTAAGATATAGATAGCATTTTTCTTCAAAGAATAATAAAGTTGGCAATCCTATTATTGATAGATATTATATCTTGAGAAATTAAACTTTATAGTTTTCTCACTAGCCGTTTCTCATTAGTCGTTTTTCACCAATCGTTTTCTTATTTATCATTCTCACTAGCTAGCTATTACATACTTATATTCTTTATTTCATATATCTAGAGCTAATGAATAAATATTATTCATACTTATATATTGTTTAATATCAAATAAGATAAAGGTATTGAAAAATATAATATTAATATCTAATTGAATAAATACAAAGGTTATATTGATAAAAACATACAATAAAGAGAACAGAATGAATAGAACTACTAAATCAAAAGCTATTAGAACTTGGAAGCTACCTTTCATTTAAAACTTGTTGTAAAGGAGTAGATAATAAAGGCATTTTATTATTTTCCTTTTCGTACTGCTCTTTAAGCTCTCTATAGATCTTATCCACAAACTCTGCTTGAAATGAGCCTATACATATAAATATCAGCAGCTTACTATAAGATTAGCAAACACCAGGCACTGGATATTGTAGGAAATCAACAAGCTTGAAAGTAATATCAGCCCCTAGAGACTTATATTTGCTAGAGTAGTTTTGTGCGATTATATAATATACTTGATACCAAAGGGGTAATAGGTTGTTGACTTGAGTATATAAGGCGCTAAAGTGATTTCTTGATTTATTAAAATCTCTTAAAGATTCATTAATATAAAATAAACTATCTGCAACTTCAAAAGAAACAGTTTTTCGAGGTCTTTTCGATAGTGTATAGCTTGCAATAGATTATTTATATCGCTCTGTTTCTAATTATAAATCAGTTAATAATAAAATATATCTCAAAAATATGAATTCCTTACCTTGTATATCCCAGAGCTATATTTATTCCATCTTTTAACATTCTTATCTAAAAAAGGTATAAAGTATATTGAATCAGTAAGATTATCCTCCTCATCCAAAGAAATGATTATTTATTATATTAAAGCTATAGAGTAATATGCAAATTTACTACTAGCTATGCAAGTTTCGAATAGAAATTGAAGAATCAACCAGCTCTCTGTATAGTGACTTTAATACTAATGATATTTTTGATTATTAGCTTCGCTTACTTGTAGAAGCGTTTTCCATAAATAATCAGATGTATAAGGCTACATAGTATCGTTCTTTTCATTAAATCTAATACCCTAACCAGATAGATTAAAAAAATACCAACACTCTATATAATATTCCTTGATCTAAATTAAATCAATTAGATTAAATAAACAATAAAAAAAAGAGGATATTCATACCAAATTGATTTTCTTTTTAATTTGATCACCAGTTAGATTCTCATTACTATTAATGCGTATCTTATGCTCTAAAGTAATAGCTTATGCAAATTAATTATAATAAAGTATTCTCTATTTAGTGAATTGATCTGATCATTGATTAATCTTTTATAAATGATTTTGTATTAAATTTAAAAGAAGCTTTTCATAAAATTTTCCCATTTAAACTGATTTGTAGATTTCTTTAAAATATTTTCGATCTCAGTTTCCAGATCCACTGATTTATTCTTTCTTTTAATAATATCGATAAAAGGGTTTTTTCATTTCTGAATTACTACAGGTATTATGTTTTTGGGTTTTGATTAGGTATTATAGCTATTATCGATATCCTTCTCGTTATTATTATTCTCATCGCTATCTGTATCGATATTTGTTGAGAGCCTTTATCAATTTCGGAATCCTGCTATATATTATAAATTAATATAATTAAAATAAGCTTTATTTGAATCAAATACCTATATATAGCTTTCTTTTTTGTAAAGAATATCTTCTTCTGATTAAAGGTGGTATTATTATTATAGAAGGAGTTGAATAATAAATCTCTAATGGAAAAAGAGGAGGAGATATTATGATCTCGAAATTGGCTTTGAGATTTGGTTGTTTTTGCTATAGGTTTGGGCTTTTGTTTGGAATGACGAATTGGGAGAGAGGAACTTCGAGTTTGAGATCTTCTATCTTTTTTTCATACAGATATAAACCTTCAATTACCATCGTTATCAATAATTTTTGACTTCCTAAACGCTTTCGAGATGTTTTTGAATAATGATTGCATTATTGGCTATTGAAATAATTTATATATAGAAATAGCTTCAAAAATACTTCAAAAAAGATTTTTTTTTTAAAAAGAAAAGAAAAAAGAAAGATAAATCAAAATATATTTCTTTCTAATTCTAAACACGTTTTTCAAGATTATTATTCTATTAAAGTTTTTTACATGATTTTCAATTTTAAATATGGGGTTTTAATATCGAATTGAAGTTTAAATTAAATATTCTAGAAAAACCACAGATTATTTGGCGGATTTGATATCCAAACTATAAAATCACAGATTAATAATCCGTTCTTTTTGAAGCGGATTGATGTTATTGCGGAATCCGCAATAACACAAAGTGCAGATTATTTCAGCGGATTCAGCACGGATTTTACATCCAAACTAGCCCTAAATGTATTGAACTTTATAAGTCGATTTTATAAACTCCTCTTCGAATTGATTGAATTGAAATATCTGAGTCCTAACGCTATCCCAGGTTCATAACCTCTTGTTCAAAGGTTTATTATATATATATATATATAAATGATATATAATATATATACAAATAATAACTCAGATTTAATATTATTCTTTCTGAATATTAATTTCAACTTGATTATTTATTTATAATAATAAAGGATCTATATATATAAACCTTTCAGAACTATCTAGAATCTTCTATTTTATCTTTTGTATTTCTAATCAATGTTATCGTCACTATAAAACTAGAATCTTTTATAAGCCTCTGTCGATCCTGATTACCCCTCATTCCTAATAACCTTAAATACAAGGCATTAAGGTTCAACAATTCTCATACTACTCCACCAAGTACTCACATCCTCAAAAATCACTGCTTGGTTCGGTATATTCTGTAATTCAAGGTTTGGACTCATCTAGCGGTGAAGTATTACTCTCCACTGAAGCCTAACTTGCTAAAAGAATCCAATGATATCCCGATATTGTATGTATTTCAAGAGTTTGAAGCCAACATGCACGACTTGGGTTCTCAAAAGTCCTTTCACAAGTTTGTGTGAGACTATATAAATCACCCATGCAAGATCTGAAGTTTTTGGAAGTTCTCTTAGCATGATGTGAGAGGTGAGATGTTTTTTTATCATTTATATCAGGTAGGTAAGCTTGCAAATAGTTCCCATTACCCATGTCCTAAATTTGCCCAATCCTATGACTAAGTTTCTAGTCTCTGATCCTTCAACTTCAAATTCGCAATGAGAAGCATCTAGAATCTCCCTCCTCCCCTCTTGGTCTTCGTTCTCCGAACACTTTTCTATTTATCCAACTTCACCCCATGGAATAAATTCTTCTTGATACGTGGGATTAATCCTCTCTCCTTGTAATCCTCTTTAATTATTTTTCGACATTCCTTCGTTTCCTTCCGTAGTTTGACCTATCCGTCGTGTAAGCTTCATTCCATTCTTGAAAACATTTCTCAATTTCCTCCTTTTGAAGCTGAATATATTCGAGAGTAGATGCACCAGGGAGCATATTTGTTTCGTAATGATGAAGACAATATATTGCTTCCAGCCAGTCTCCGAAAGGCATTGGACAGGTATTAGCAAAACCCTTGTGCCAAGCTTCTCCATGGTCACTTAAAATGCTGTAAACTTGATTTTCACCAGTCTTATCCCATTCAAGTAAAATTTTGATGTGATCCTTTGGTGCTCCGAAAACCGTATGTAAAACAGATATCAAAGTAGTCAGGGTGCATGTCAGCTTGTTTTATTGTTGTTGACAAATTGATGTCGTATGCTAATTCGTTTTGATCGTATACATTGACTCGTACATCGATTGGATTAGCAATTTGCTGTTTACGTTGTGCATTTTGCGTCGAGCTGAGAAACATCTAGGCCAGTTGATTCCTTATGCTAACCACCCCTCCAGCATATTCTCGGTCTCTATAAGTTTGTAATAACTTGATATCGTCTTTCAATTTTTGTTGGCTTAACTGAATATCGTCCAGTTTCTTTTTACAAAATTGAGAATTGTATTCCAATTTCTGTAGTCTTGACTCCCTCTTGCTTAGCATCTCTTTGACCGTGATGCTGTTTATATCGTGTGAATAGCCATGGTTCGTGAGTGTATTTCCCTTTGGCTGATTCAAAAGAAGACTGTCCGTTTGATCTTGAGGAGAAGTGGAAGCCTGGCCTCCCGAATGATTGGCTGATCCATCAGCTGTATTTCCCTGCTGCAATCATTGTTAGTATAATATAATGTGGAACCTGCAACAATTATGATATAGAGATACTAGCCTGTTGTAGATTGGGTAGACTCTGCATATTCCTATGGAAATTTACACTATGTGGTCTCCAGATGATGGGCGATCCAGATCTCAAGAGTGTTCGTCGGAACATCTTGATCGGGTGTAAATACTTGGCGGAGAGATGGTGCCAATATTGACGAGTTGTATATGTATAACCTGGGAGAAAGGTATGTTACTTGAGGTAGTGGGGTGTATTTGTTATGATGATGGTAGATATGATATATGTTGGGGGATGAACAGTCCTTAAATAACAAATTTGGGAATGGGATCAAAGGCATTGACCCCAGATTTTCCGAAAAACGCTCGAGCCATTTGTAGGGCTGCAGCTGTCGCTGTACCAGAATACGCTAAGCAGGGGTACAATAAATCACCCAGGTACTGGTATATAGATTCCAATCAGATCGCTGTTTACATGTGGACAACCTTGATTGATAATAGAAACAAGTCAATTCAATAGAGATGTCAAGCGTTGATGAAAAATTTAGTGAACCAACGAACAAACACTCTGCTTCACCAGCTCACTATTTCCCGAGATTCTAATATAAACCTTGCTTTTCTCAATCTATCCTTACCTAGGTAGTATATTAATGGATCAAATTGTATAGTAAGTAAGGGCTATCAACAGAATCAGACCCTAAACGCGAAAATTTGAAGCTCCACTCCCCGAATATGTAATTCTCAAAGTCACAAAGTCCAAAAGCTTTATTGATGATAAGAGAAGTAGAGTAGAAGTAGAAGCAGAAAGAAAGAGGTTCACTTTGTAACTTGCTCGCATCATTTTCAATCCATCACCTCCTTCTCCTATTAATATCTCTTCTCGCTTCCACCCAGCAGACACAGACCTTAGGCGACTTAAATATCTAAAACTTGAGCATCCAGAAACTAACAGAGCAGGTAGATAACTATTCGCATCGTTTGATCATTTACATATCACATACATCTATCTAAATCAACAAATCATACTATGATCTGCTCCTCGCATTGGCTCTTTAAACCAATCCTTCAAAAGCCATAACTTCTCTCTTCTCGCCACGGCCAAAAGAGACCTTTCGAAAGGAACATCTCACACAAAATCTCCCAACAGGTACCGGCATCCAGATCATCGACCAACATCCTTTCCGCCCCACCCACATATAGAAGATCCAAAAGCCAAAAAGTCAAAAAACATACAACAGTGGGGATTCGCTGGTGGTCACCCACCCAACTACTAATCCACCGATCTGAAGCTTGTGTATGGCAGAGCGGACGGGATGCCCAATTCTCTTCAGTCTATGGTCGTATATGTCAGAGAGTTGCTTAATTTGGTATATACTATTGGCATGTTGGTGGAAGAGGTGTTCGTGAAGCACGTTTTTAATAAACGAGGAATATAAAATTCTCTGCACGTCTCAAGATTATAAAGTATGAGAGAGAGGGGGGGGAGTTAAGTAGAAGGGTATGCAAGGCTTTTTGTTATTGGAAAGGAATGGAAGTTTGTTTAGTAGTAGGAAACTGTTTAAATTTTCTTTCGGTCCCAATCGCTTAAGTATGAAACTACATACTGTATTCACTTGAGTTCGAACTCGCGTATTTTTATGTTTATCCTTGGGAGCGACGATACCAAAGCTTTATGGGTTCTGATGAAAAATTTCAATGAAGTTGTAATTTAGGAACGAGGTAGATACTTATCTCATCGGGCGTCTTCCATAAAACTAGGTATTGAACGACAAAACTTTTTCTTCAAAACTATATGGTACGTGTATAAATAGACAAAATACACATCACAATATTCATCACCAAATCTTGCAAATCTAAACTTAGTTGATTTTGATCTATTAATTTTTTGTACATTTCATTTATTCTAAACTATATCAATTACAATCACATATCTAAAAAAAAATACCTCTTCCCTCAATATGCACTATAGTCTTCCCTCAATATGCACTATAGCTCATTTGTCCACACAGTCCATTCGAAACAGTGAAGGCACCAGCAGTACCTGCCGATGACGAAGTGTAGAATTTGTTCGTGATAATACTGTTAACGCCACAGGTTGCTCCTGGTGCGGCCAAGTAACAAGCGCCACTGTTCAAATAGACGGAACCAGCGCAACCGCCTGCGGCGGTCTGACACGCTACACAACAATCATAAGCGGAGTTTGCCTTCGACGCGGAGAGGACACTCGTGAGGAATTGAACTTGTGTGACGGGTGCTCCGTTGACGGAAGAGATCAAGTTGTTAGCGGCGCAAGCGGCGTAGCTGGTGGGGGTTGCGCCGGAAACTTCACTGACGGTTTGAGTGGCTGTGAGGGTTGTTGTAGAAGTGGCCAAGACAATGCTTGAGATGGTTGAATATTCGGTAGCTACGAGGGTTGTGGAACAATCCTCTTCCATAACACTTGTTGTTGTTGTTATAGTGGAGGTTGAAGTCTCTGTGACGTAGGGAGTTGCAAGATTGGTAACCATTGCTGCCGTCTCGGTGATTGTGGTGATAGACCCAATGTTCAAAATCGATGTACATTCGACCGCTGCTGGGTAGGATGTGCTATGAGCAAAGATGGATGGGGAGGTAGAGCTGGTAGTTGAGTTTGCGCTGCTTACGGGGGTGAAGCTGACTCTGTTGGAAGGGATGACACCAGTTGGAGGACTTGGGTCTGCACTGATAACGTGGGTGAAGCTAACTCTACTGGAAGGAATGACGCCAGTTGGTGCGTACATGGAAGCACTTGGGTCTTCAAATGGTTTGATGTCGCTACTGGTAGCTGTGTCCACAGGTTTACTGAGAGATGGTGCACATCCAGAGGCAGCGATGTAGCGAGATGTGGTGTTATAGTAACGATATCTAGACCAAGATTCAGATGGAGCTAACGCAGGCACTCCTGTACTTTGCTGCTCAGCTTCTGAAGCAGATTGAGAGTCGGTGGTGGTTTTCGTGAGAGACTGCAAGGTGTTTGGCCGTTGATGATTCCACTCGCCTGACTTTGTGACAGTATAGTATACATCGTTTGAATAAACAAGGGTAGATGTTACTGTAATTGTAACGGTGAGTGGTGCCTGGGAAGGTTGGGGCGGCCCACATTCACTACGCTTGGCTACACCAGGAACAGCCGAACCGATTGGTGTAAAGCCATATGGAGCTGCGATGTGAACAGTTTCTGGGCTTGCACTGATTGTCGTTGTAGCAGTAGCGGTCTCTGTCTCAACAATAGCACTGGTGATGGAGGTTGTGGCGAGACAAGTTGATGTACTGTAAAACGTATCGGTAACTTGAGGAACGATAGTTGTTTCGGTGGTGGTGGCGAATTCTCCCACAGTAAGAGTACTTGCTTGGAGGGTCAAGGAAATGGAGGGAGTATAGGTGACTATACTTGTATCGATCTGGGTTGAAGTCTCTGTCTTGGAGGATGTAAGAACACTGTATGGTGCTATTGAAGCAAATGAGGTGGTACATGACAATTGATCATCAAGTGCTGAAGCTGGGTATGTGCCATTTGACAAAATGGCAGAAAGAACGGCTGGAGTCGCAAGGACAACCAATGGAAGGAGTGTGGAAACCATTATAAAGATTGTTGTGCTTGACTCTGAGAAATAAAAGAAGGATTCAAGAGTCTACGATATCGATTCGAGAAGCCCTTGGGAAGATGGGAAACCACTGAAATAAGTACTTTTCGAAGGTCTACCTCCGTGTTGGGACATATCAGAAGAACTCCTGCATTCGGATATGTCCGGGGATGATGGACCCATGAGCTTCTCATCAAGTTTGAACCGCAGAGAAACAGTGTTGAAGGCTGAATGCTGCTGTCAATATCAATAGCTTGAACTGTGGAGTTCTGAGCCGTGGCGCTAGGCCTTAATCAGCAGCGCATAGGTTTTCTTATCCAGATGAATGGAGAGAAAGAGGCCTCTGCGGCTGTGCATTTTTAGATGGCCTTGATAGAAATAAGGTACTGGTAGGGTTTCCCAGATCTATACACCATGGTCAAAGTTTTGCTTCGTTGGAGAAAGAGTCAGAAAGTGGGTATGGAGAAATTGAACCCCTGATCTAAGATCTTCAAGCAAAACAGATTCATGTCTCTAGATCTATTTGAGCTTAAACAGACTACTGTAGCGTGAAGCTTAAATACCCTTGGTATCAACGCAATTGAAGAGCTTTCCCACGCGCAGGGCTAGATAAGTGTGCTGGATTACTTGTGAGCAATCTAGATCTGAAAAGACCGAAAGGTCGATACTCTGCACGTACCACAATGGAACGATGAGATAGCAAAAATAGGTATTTAAACACATAAGCGAGCTGAAAGCAGATTACTTTCGCTTCTTCTATCCTGTTCGTCCGAAATATAGTGGACTTTGCAGTTGATAATATCCATGCCGCTGACTATTTCTGAAGTAGCTAGTAAACGAACGCGAGAGAAAACGTGGGAGAAATCCATATGATTGGATACCATGGAATAAAATTGGGCTTACGGGCCGTGCCTGATCTTTCAAGCTGTTCCCACAATTTTCAGAATAGCCAATCATGATCTTTGTTTGTATGGAAATATCTCTATCAAAGTGTAACTTTATAACTCCTCACAGGACAGACGGGAAGTATAAAGCTCATAGAAT